ATGAGGCATAAGAAAATGAACCAATCAAATCTTTATTTCCTTCCTTTTCGTGAAATAAAAAATTCTGATTAGTTGATTTTCTTATGCCTCATGTTTTATGCGTTAAGAGTCTGTGCTCCCTGCTTTACGGCTATAGCACAGACTCTTGCATAACACACAATGCATAGTGCATAAGCGAATCAATGGCCTAGTTTCCACCGAGGATTTAAGAATCAACTACAATCGAGCATTCCCCTGTCGTTCGATTATAACAGGGAATACTCGATTGTAGTTGGTTGGTTACATTCTGATCCCGTTTAAACCCTCAGTGAAAACTAGGCCAATCAGAATCTTTCCATTCCTCCCAGTCCATGGAAAAGAAAAATTTCGATTGGTTCTTTTATGCACTGTGCATTATGCATTATGCAAGAATCTCTGCTATGGCGTTATTACATAACGCATAAAACATAAGAAAATCAATCAATCAGAGTCCTTTATTTCACGGAAAAAAAAGAAATAAAGCACTATGATTGGTTCATTTTCTTATGTCTCATGTGTTATGCATTATGCAATAAGTCTATGCTCTCCGTTAAACTCTGCTCGAATAATCTAGGTGCGTTCAAAAAGATGTTATTAGCTATTTGTGTCAATCTATCATTGGCTTAGTTTCCACTGAGGATTAGAATGCAAGAACCAGGTTAGAATGCAAGAACCAATCAATTATAGTCAAGTATGCCCCTGTTACAGTCGAATGATAGGGGAATGCTCGACTGTAGTTGATTGATTCTTACATTCTGATCCGGATTAAATCTTCGGAAACTAGGCATATGAGAAGAATAATCGAATATGCTTGATTAATTTTCTACGACTTAAGACTCTACGGTCTTAATAAGTGTACCATTCACATTGTCACATTCGGTATAATTTGCGTAATGCGAGATCTACAATAAAAGTCATAGCGTCATAGTCTTAAATCGTAAAAAATTAATCAATCCAATCAAATATGAGAAGAATAATCGACTATGATGATCGATTGCTTAAGACTGGTACAACTTCTTTTAGGCCTCGTACATAATCAAGTCGACTTGACGGATGTTGTTAGTCATAAAAGATGGGATTCGTCTAATCCAAACGACGCCCAGAAGCCGACACGAAAAATAAAAGTATGTAAGTACACAACATACGACAACGTCTCCCGACTGATTGTAGACGGATTCGTTGTAGATGGAAAAGCGGAAGCCAAGAAATCGCGGAGAGACAGAAGCAGACAAGCAAATACCGTACCGCCTACTACTACTGCGAGTTCCGATTGGCTTCCACTTTTCCACTTTTCTCTTTTCCGTCAAGGTGTGAATCCGACTTTAAACCCTGCATTATGCTTGTGACGCTATTGTAGAACAGTCCGGTATCACACTAGCGATTAAACACAAACTCTAAGATCCATTCCATAAACTTGCTTAACCGCATAAACGTATGCACAAAGAAAATCATCCAATCATATTTTATGTTTGTCTTTATGACAGAAATGTGATTGGATAATTTGCTTTATGCATATGATTATGCGGCAAGTTGTGTGGAATGGCTCTTATAGTTTGTGTCTATGTTGCATTAGGGTGACCAGTCGGATAAGACCTGCTAGTCAGTAGTTTTATTTTGATGAAGACACACAATCTGCGTTAAGTCTGTCACACCTGTGAAATGCATAACAGAACATAAGTATATCATAAGATTGCTGAACCAATTAATTATTCTCCTGGCATTCGACTGTAGTTGGTCACTTCTTATGATTTAAAGATTAAACATCTATTGTAGATCCGAACATTACCTAAGCTTTAAGTCTTAAGCCATAAGAAATTGACCAATCATAGTTTATTATTCTTCTCATATTCAATTGTCGATTTCTTATGACTCAAGATTTAAAACTTAGATAATGATAGATTATTGTAGAAAACCTATTACCCTAGATCTACAGACTAGATCTATAATAGATTTTTAAGCCTTAAGTCATAAGGAATGGATGAATCATAATCAGTTATTCTCCTCGCATTCGATTGTAGTTGGTTAAATTCTTACGGCTTAAAGCTTAAACACTTATTATTCAGATCTCAATTTACTGTTGATAAGACGATGTAAGGGTATATTCATACAAACTTGCATAGCCGCATAAACGTATGCATAAAGAAAATTATCCAATCACATTTTACGTTCGTCTTTATAGAAGAAATGTTCAATCGAAATTCTTCTTTTCCATGGAATGGAAGGAAAGATTCTGATTAGTTGATTCGCTTATACATTATGCGTTATGCGTTATGCAAGAATCTGTGCTGCGGCCTTAATACGCATTCTATAATAAGCCATTAATCATAAATCAGAAGTTAGAAGTTGGAAATTGATGACTATGATTGGTCAATTTTCAACTTCTAACTTCTGATTTATGACTAATGACTTATTGTAGAATGGCCATAAGACTAAAACGGGGAGCACAGACTCTTAAGGCATAAGGAATTGAACTAATCAGAGTTTTTTATTTCATGGAAACAGAGAACTTCGACTTGTATATTTTTTTATGTATAATGTGTTATGCGTTATGCAAAAATCTGTACTCGCCGTTTATATTCACACAACTTGCATAGCCATATAAATATATGCACAACAAAAATTATTTAATAACATTTTACATGCGTCTTAAGATAAATGCGATTGTATAATTTTCTTTATGCATATGTTTACGGCTGTACATTCAAATTTATTTGAATATATTATTAAATACAAGAATCAATTATGAATATCGGCCTAAGTCTGATGAAATCCAACGAAATTCGATGAAATCATGAATTCCTTGAAGTAAAAAAAAATGAATTTTGGTGAAGTCTGGCAAAGTTCGGCAAAGTCCGATAAATTCCAGTGAAATCCAGTGAAGTCTTGAAATCTTAAGTCCAATTGTATACCTATTTTCTAAATGGTTACTTTCTCGAAATTTGTTCATTTTTGTAATTTTCACCTCATTTCAAGATACAGAATTGATTTTCAGAAAATGCGCTCTGTTGTTTATTGTGAATACTAAAAATCTATAATTACATATGTTTATAAATTTTTAATATTCACAGTGAGTACTAAAACCTAATGATAAAAATACAGAGTTTTATGTAACGCATAACATATAAATGCCTAAGAAAATGAATCAATCAAAAGGCCGGAGTACAGATCTTTGCATAATGCATAGTACATATAAAGCATAAAAAAATCAATCAGTCTTTTATTTTATGGAAAGGAAGTAAATGAAGGACTAATTGGTTCAGCTTTGCAATTATTGTAAAATTCTTTAATACAATTTATTCTTGTTTTAGTTTTTCACTAGATTTAAATGTAAATAATTAACTATTTTAATCTTACAATAGTTGCAAAGCTGCTTTTTATGTTGAATACTATAAGTAATATAATGAAAAATATGAAAATTTATCTCATATTTTTCTTCCGAAAAAATATTTTTCAACATGTACATATTTTTTTTAATTTTCACATTAATAATAATTATTATATATGAAGAATATATTTTGAATATGAAGAAAAGTTCATGAAAATGAAAATTAATAATAGTAACCTTAACTTAATTGATAATTAATTCAATTGAAAAGCAAAATTTGTAGATATATATATAATTCATCGTTTATGATCTAATCTTTTCTTGAAAAATAAACATTCTTGTTAAAAAATAAAAAATAATTATTCTTTCTATTTAAAAAAGAATTTTAAAATTAATAATTCTATTATATTTAATATTTATATTTTTCTATTTAATTCCCTATTATTAACAAAATATATTAGTACAAAGTTAATTGAAATTTGGGGTCTAAGAATTGCTCCAAATTAAAAATATATAGAGATCGAATGAGTCAATCTTATTAAAGAGGAAATTCATTGTAGGGGCTTCGCTTTTTGATCGTTGGGGTCGAATCTGTGAAGCGTGTAATGTAATAGCACCTGTCGCACCACCTGTTATACCGCGTCACAACTGCATTCCAACATTCCAGTCGAGCGCGGAGAAAACGATGAACACGCGTGCGTATCGTACGTAGATTCACTTCGTACGTGACGTATGTATGTCTCACTCGCCGCCGCTTTCACTCATTCTCACTCCACGTTCATGAACTCCATTCGGTATCCGAAACTACGCCAGCGCGCAGTGCCGGATTTATTCTTGTCACGGCCCCTGTCGCATAAATGTAACCTTGGGATCATATTCTATATTTTGGAAGTGAAAAGATGAAAATGTCAAAAGTGAGTATATTTATAAGGTTACAGTGTTGATAAATAAAATTATAAATATTAATAATCAATAAAATTATAAATATTCTAATAAATTCTCTCACTTTTGTAATTTTTATCTCGTTCAAAATACGAAATTGTTCTCTCTCTCTCTCTCTCTCTCTCTCTCTCTCTCTCTCTCTCTCTCTCTCTCTCCCCTTTCTGAAGTTTAATTTAAATTATTAAAGAATCCCTTTTTGAAACTTAATTTATATCGACTTTAATTTTATTTTATTCCCGAAAAATAAATAATTTAGTATCTAAATTTGCTAATTACGTCAGATGATTTCCAAGCTGTGGAATTTGTTGAATTATAATGAAGTGATAATGATTTGATTCCTAAAAAATGAAAAGATTACTTATAACAGACTAGTAATTTATGAGTGGAATAGAACGATTCAGATCATTCTTTCAATTTTTTATAAACGGTACAATAGATAAAATTTGCATTCTAAACTCACGTTATGACACGTTATGACACGCATCATCTTGATATTTCGAGAATAAAGCAGAATCACGAGAATCAGAAGAGTAGAATTTCAGCCTTGTTTGATCTCGTAGAAAAGCCTCGACGTCATCGACTCCGCACGAATAAATCCGCTCCTGGCTGCTTCTGGTCGCGTTGCATCTCCTCCCACCATACGCAGCCCCCGCGTATTGGTTGCAGTCCCTTTAAAATTTGAATCTCTGTCGGTTACTGAGTCTTGTCGCAACTGTACTCTGTGCGGGCAGTGCAATTGTGTATCCGTCTTGATTTGGGCAATCCGAGGCGAACGCAGTGAACCCGCGAATTCAGGACTCCAGGATTATACTAGGACCGCGACTATCGGTGTAGGCGAATCACCTGTTGATTTCCACGAGGATCGTCGTGGCGTGAGGTAAGTTCAAGAAACAAAGTTGAACAAACAAAGAAAAGGGAGACTGGGGACTGAGACTCTTTTCGTGACTTTGGAGCGCGTTTAAAATTCTACCTGAATGTTCCGTAGATATCACCTTATCGTTGTTTAATATTCAGCAAACAACAAGAATAAAATGAAAAACTTGAGCACTTAAGGATAGAAATTTGAACATAGCTCTGATTGATCTCATTGCAGTGCAGATCAACATCCGGCTGTGAATAATGTCGGAGACCAGCGGGGATAATGCCAAATACAAGTGGACGCCCGAGAGCACTGCGTTACTCGTCTCGGTATGGTCCGACCGGCAGGTACAGAAACAGCTTGAATATGCTCCCCGGCCACAGGTAATCTGGGAGAGCGTAGCTCGCTACATGAAGAAGAAGGGCTACAATGTCGCGGGTAAGCAATGCCGGTCGCGTATGAAGCAAGTCCTGGTGTGCTACCGTGAGGCCAAGCGGGCAGGCACTCATGATTGCGTGGAACAGTACTATGAGACCGTCGACCGCGTACTGAAGAGCAAGCGTCTGGAGCATATCAACATCAATGGTGTGGACACTGTGGGTAAGTACAGGAATTATTGGTTGTAGAACAGTTTGATTCAAAACTCTAGAATATACAAATATTTAATAACGTTTTTGGCCTAAACAGGTTATATTAATCTAGGTTGGATTAATGATGTGCATAAGTTAATATTACTTCTGATTGTTATTAGACTCAACTGTAAAGTCACCACCAAAGGATGTAAAGACTAACAAGAATCTACAAATGAGACTGAAAGTTCAGGAACCTGTGCAATCTCTCTTTCGAACGAACGCTCTGTCCCCAACGTGGGTGATGGGATGTAAGGCATTTTGTTTTATCGTGGAAAATTTTATTTATCTAATGTTAGCTTTTATGATCTTTTTTTTCTTTGCAGATGAAAATGAATATCCAGAGTCACCTGAATCCAACGAGACCATAATAGCCAAGCCATATAGAGTCTTTTCTCCTACGAGAGACGTTGCCATAAATACTGGCGAGCGTTTCACTCAGATTGGCAATCAAGCAGTACAGACAAACCCAATTGTGATAGAGAAGCCGATACGAGAAGACTATCAGCAAAATTTACTATCGCCTTTTTCATACGGAGAGGTTCCTTATCAAAATGCAGTGCAGAATGTACAGAATCAAATTATTCAGGAGAACATGCAGCAATATCAGAATATCCAGCAACAAAATTATACCGGATGGAATCAGTTACCACAGCAAAACGTATTGGCAAACAATCGACTCGGTTTCCAGCAGAACGTGCACAATCAGCCATATATGCCGAATGGAACAATGCAGAACAATGTGATGCAGAATCCTAATGTAGAGAAGATCGCGCGCCAGCAAAATCAGCTACACCGAAGCGTACCATATACAAATAATCAAGCGATGCCGCAGGAGCCGCGAAAGGTTATCTATGGACAAAACATAACTACATATAGGCAATATCAAGATGCAGAACCGCGTCTTACTCGCATGGCGAACGTTATTCCAAATGGATCGTCACCAGACTATTCTCCAGATGTTTCTCAGAACTTAAATGATGCTTTCTGCGAGTCGAAGAGCGATGACAAGACACATAACTTAAATGAGACATACAGTCGATCTAATAATCCTACGGCGGATGCAACTATTCTGACGAACAATGCAACTTGTAACGATGACACTTTGTTGCTGGAATTGTTGTTGGATTCACCTACTCCATCAGAGAATTGTGGAAAATCGCGGGATAGTGCTGTGAATACAGATATTGAGTTAGGAATACCGAATGCACCATTCAGGAAGAAGAAAGCACAGAAATTGGAGCAGCTTGTACTTAATGCGATTAATTCTCAAAATGAAGTCGTCAATAAGGTAGAATATTATATGCTTATAATTAAATCTTTTTATTAAACTTTATTATACTTGTTGTTTTATTTTTTTTCTCTTACTTTTTTATTTATATAACATTTTATATTTTTAAATAATGTAGCTTTTATGTTATTCCAATTTCTTAGATCTTGGCTGCGCAGAATGACATGGTGACGCGATTTCTCGACGTTGACAGAGACCGGCAAAATAGGCTCGAGAACAGGTTGGATGATTTGTTGAATGTTGTTCATGCTACAGTACTCAATAAGAACGAAACACCTCCATCACCACCACCACCGATGCCGGAAACTGTGATCACTTCCTTACTTCCGCCACCGAAGCCCGGAATGATCCCACCTAAATTGGATCTGGTTCCTCCGAAGCCTTGTCGCGTTCCTTGTACAATTCCGAATTCGAACGTCGAGCTAATCAATCAGAATCCTGTTCTGACTAGACCTGGCGTCGTGTCGCCAATCACTGTTAGCCCAGCAGGCAAGAAGCTCGGCACAATATGGACAAAATTGGGTCCAGTGTCCACATCGCCGTTCGTGAAGGCTCAGCAGCGACTTGGTTTTCAGCCTGTCTTCAACAATGACGCACGCACAAAATCGTCGGCAGAAAGACGCATTGCTAGGGAAATAAGCGGGCTGCGTATGGACATGCGAGGCTTGATATATGAAACATCGAAGCTATTGGAGGCAGAGCGTGAACTCGAGGAGAAGATAGAAAACGCGCGGCTGGAACTGAATATGGGTCAGACTTTGACCGCGCGTAGAAAACTGTTCACGCAGCGGGAACCCACTCCCATCATGATACTAACTGCAGCTTTTTTGGATACCGAATGTCGCGCATACGAACAAGATCCGCCTTATCATGGCACCTGGAATTCGCGGAAGGAGATACTCAAATATGCGCGACAGGATAACCTGGTAGCCGGACAGGGTGAGAGTTACGAGCGTATGTGTCAATTAAACGCGGCAGTTCGACGTGATTACCTGAATTACGAACCATGCGATTCATCGACTCCAGCAAAACCGTTCAACATTGGCGAGAACGTCAATAATGAAGCTGGAGTGCAGAAACAAACCATTCAGCAACTCGCGCGGCTCGTGATGAACAGCGCGAGATGGCGACATTCTGCTCCACCGAACCAGCAGCAAAATTCAGTCTGTCCTCCAATTCAAACGATAAATAAAAATGTTCAGGACGTCGAGTACAATGTGACCTTCACTGCTCCAAAGGCAAATGCGCCTCCACCTCCTGATGAACTGCAAGGATTTATGAAAGATTACGACGTGCAGCAGAAACAAGGTAATCATACTAAAGTAGCTTCTGACGGTAAACCATTGGCAAATGATCTGCGTCAACCTAAATTCCCGATGGGTTTTACCACTACTATGTTAATCACCAATGATAAAAAAAACGCAACTTTACCGAAACAAAACGGCGGAATATCTAAAGAATTGGGATTCGACAATCCGGTGACCGATCGCAGAAACAATGTTCGTTTCATGGATGAGGCATTGGCCGAACTACAGAAAATGTATATCGAGCGTCAGAATAGTGAAATGTCCGAAGCATTATTGCCTTTTGTCATAAGTAACGGTAATAGTGCAATAAGTCTACAAAATCGCAATTTGATAGAGCGTTATGTGAACGACTTGATATCGAAAAAGTCGACTAGAGACAAGGACACAGACTCAGATAATGATGAGGAATATCTTGACACTACCACTAGTATGCATCCAACTTGCGTGGTGCGTAGAGGCTCACTGACATCAAACGGCACAGCATCGACAGAAACTGCTTTTTCGGCGAAACTTAAAGCTAATCACTGTAGAATTAGTTAAGCACAGGGTAAGACAAAAATAGAATCATATTTTTTATATTTGTTTTCACTTGCGCGATCAGTTTTCTTTATACATAATTGCTCAATTGTGTGTACTAGGTTCCTCATCACTTGTTACTTCATGATATACTTATTGTTTTTCAATCAACATTATATTCTAATAAAAATAAAATAATGGCCTTATAATAGTTCATCGCAGAGCTGAAAGTTTAAGTTAGCGATACAATCCTTAAATACTAGCAAATAGAAAGCTATAAATAGCGATATTAGTTACATCTTTTCCAAACAGACTTAATGTTGAATCTTTAGAAATCAAAAATGATAATATGCTCACGTATTTTTCATTTTTTTTAATAATAAAGAGAAAGAAAGATACATAAAAAAACAGTTGTTGAACTAATCGATTTGATATGTATCTAAGTAGATCTTTTATTACTGTTTTTCTCTTCGCGAATTATAATCTTGTTTTTTTTCTGCTTTTTATTACTTTTCTTTAAAATTTCCTATTGCAAATATCTCCATCTAACAGTGTCCAATTAACAAAATTATTTAATTTTGATTCTACTTTAGGCCTCATCTACAATAGTCGCACAGATTGTGTTGCATGTCGCAAGTAGTAGCGTCACAAGAAAAGTCGCATGTTGCAGTGTTGAGTGTCGCTAAATGAGCATCTACAATAGTCGTAAGGATTATTTGCAAGCAATTTGACAACAAATTCTATCATCAAATTTGCTGTGTTGTGCTGATTAGCTGAGCTCATGCGACACGTTTGTCGCAGAAAGTTGAAAGTGGCTTAACTCCGTACGATGAGACATGCTCTTGCGATTGCAACAATCATGTGACTAGAAGCAACACTCCTGCGACATTCTCATACGACATGCAGTCTGTGCGACTATTATAAACGAGACTTTTAATTGTTACTATGAATAGAAGACACAAATATATCATAAAATGAAAATTTTTTGCTCCTAAGATTACTAAACGAATAATAGTATATATGATCAAGTATTTTAATAATTTTTTATTAGCAAATTAAAAATAAAAAAATAATGATATATATGTGTATAATGTAATTAATATCAGAATTTCAGTGTTTAAAAATTCAAGTGAACTCTTTATACTTTCATTAATTCTTGGATCTTCAATCAGTACATTAGTAACACCAATTTAGTTATTATACCATTAGTTTCCCTGTTTTACATATTCATTCTTCTCAGTTTGTTTAAAAAAAAAAACAAAAAAAAAAACAGAAAATGAAATTAACTTGAAATGAGAAAAATGATAATAAAAAATTTGTTTAAACACTTATTGAATCAGTTAGATTCAACAACTAATTTTTAAAATTACTTACTTGATCCATCTACTTATAAAGTAACATCTTCTCTTCAATTGTACCATCTCATCAGTTTTTTCTCCTATCCTTTTATTTTTTTTTATTAAATCTTATAAATCAAAGAATTATAAATGCCTATGAGAGCCAATAAGAGAAAAATACAGAAGCATATCTTTGCTTATTGTCGAACAGAATGCAGAAGTAATTACTTTTGTATGGACTATTGATTTTTGGAACGCTTACAATTTTATTAATACTTTAACATCTACTGAGATTAAAGAACATCTTTTCATTAAGATGTGCACTGGTAGGGAACATCACAAATTATGCTTTTTTATTCAAAATACCAAATTCAATCCTAAAGATCAGATTGATATTAACAAATAATGTTTATATCCAAAGTATTAAGGGAACAGCTTTGCAAACATTTAAATATCGACTCGTTATATGAAGCATGTCTCAAAACTCTTTGCCTAAACGAAACGACATATTTATCCAACATTCTGTCAGTACATTTTATGTTTCAATCATATACAAATGTATCACATAACACTATGTTTAAATGCATATCAGAGACATCAAAATTAAACTACGAACAATTTCGCTTCTGATAATTCAATTCATTCGTAACATTTGTAGTAGATGGAAAATATCTTTGTATAAATAAATTATTAATATGGCTCTTATAGGCATTATAATTCTTTGATTTATTCTTTGGAGTCTGTCAATTCTTTTTATTGTAAATTTTAAAATCTACTATTTCTATTTATATTTGAACCATAAATATTTCATTAATCTTTCTTCTTTTTATAATAAGATAATTGGATTTTATATAGTCTGTCTAAGCTTTGTAATTTTTTCTAATTTTTTGCGGAGTCAAAAATTGAAAACTAATGATCAGATTCAAGAGAGGAAATATTTCTGAATATTGAAAACAATATGAGACAAACATTTTCCTGAATCTTTTTTTCTCTTTTTTTTCAACATTACTTCATTTTATTTGGTTTAATCTAAGAGAAAAATTATTTCATGTAAATCAATGCGAGTACTTAAGGATTAATACAGATCTACTTATTGACAATTTGTACCTATATTACTAATTTAGTTTATTAACGATAAAATTTAGCGATTACGTCATTACCATATAGATTTTTGAGGAATAATACATTCCGTAGAAATATGTTATACTAATGATTTGAATTAAGCATACAGTGCAATGGTATCTGTTGAGACCTTTTATCTATTGTTTTCATATTATACAATGTTTATTACTCTTGTGTTATATAAGTAATCTATTTGCGTCCACTATGCACATAATATGCATAATTACAAGTAAATTCATCGATCAAGCAATTCCGTAAATATCGCGCAAGATTCAAAGAAGGGAATTTATTACTTACGTATATCGTTAGATAGAATTTTTATGGGAGTTTTCTCATGTTTTTATATCATGACTTGAATGAATTTATATATATAATTTCATTATTCTTTGACATAAATCGTAAAATTATATTTAAGCGAAATAAAAATGTTCATCGTCTTCCATTCAATGTGCCAAATTAGCGATGTGCAAATTGAATTTCATTTATAAACAAATGCCTTATTATTAATAAAGAATATAAGCTATACTTATAACTCTTATCCTTTATAAACATAATATAAAAATTATCAAAAAATTCGTCAAATAGAAAAAACGGTACGAAATTTCTTTGGTATACGAAATAATTTTATATATATGTGTATATACACAAGGTGTTCTGAAAAGATTTTGTCAATTTTTTATGTAGATAGAGCGGATTAAACTGAGTCGAAAAGACCTCTACTATTTTGCAATTTTCGCAATAATTAACAAGATATTAATTACTAAAGATTGGTAAATATTGGTCTTGAATAATTTTTTACTCAAATACTATCAACTTTAAAACAGCTGCAAGAGAACAAAAATCATTTATTTTCTTCTCATAAAGTTCTGAGAATTTTTTTCAGAATTTTTTAATATCGTATTGTTTCATGTTGATAAAAATAAGAAAATGCTGATAAAAGGTTGATAAAGGCTGATAAAAGGATTAAAAAGTTGATAAAAAATTTCGAAAAAATTCTTAGAGTTCTTCTATGAGAAGAAAATAAATGAGTTTTATTTCTTGCAGTTTTTCTGTAAAGTTGATAATATTTGAATAAAAAATTATTCAAGACCAATATTTAATATTTAATAATATTTTTAATAATATCTTGTTAACTTATTGAAAAAATTGCAAAATGGTAGAGGGCTTTTTGACTCAGTTTAGCTCTATGTATCTACACACAAGCGATTGGCAAAAACTTTCGGGACATCCTATATATATATATATACAATGTTTAATTAACGATGATGTACACAATATT